AGACTGTCTTTACTCTATTGTGTGTTCTTGTCTCCTTTGTCAAAGTCTAATTGACCAAAACTTGTGGGTCTGTTTCTGGGCTCTCTTTGCTGTTCCATTGACCCATATGTGTGTTTTTGTACCAATACCATGCAGTTTTGATTACTGTAGCTCTGTAGTATTGTCTGAGTTCTGGGAGGGTTATTACTCCAGCTTTGTTATTTTTCTTCAGTAATGCTTTGGCAATTCTGGGTCTTTTGTGATTCCATATAAATTTTAGGATTATTTACTCTAGTTCTGTGCAAAATGTCCTGGGTGTTGATAAGGATGGCATTAAATCTGTAGATTGCTTTGGGTTGTATGGCCATTTGAACAATATTCTTCCAATCGAAGAACATCGGATATCTTTCCATTTCTTTGAGTTGTCTTTAATTTCCTTTGTCAGTGTTTTGTACTTCTCCACATATTAGTCTTTTACTTTCTTGGTCAGGTTTATTCTTAAGGATTTAATTTTTTTGGATGCAATTTTAAAAGGGATTGTTTGACTAATGATATTTTGGGGGTTTAAATTTCTTATCTTTCTATTTGTTTTTTGTTTCATCCATCTGTTTTCATTTTCTTCTTTTTCTACCTTTTGCATTTTATTTATTTTATTGGCTTAATGGCTATAACTCTGTATTATATTACTGTAGCGGTTGCTTTAAGGTCTATAGTATATACATCTTTAACTTACAGCCCACTCAAGTGATACAACACTTCATGTAGTAATAACTGCTCTTTGTGCTATTAGTGTGCTGTCTCTTCTGCAGATGTTAAAAATCCCAGAATACTTTGTTATTTTGTCTTAAACAGTTTATTATCTTTTAAAAAGACATAAATAAAGGAAGGAGGAGTCTTTATGTTTGCCCATATAGTTACCATCACGGTGTTCATCATTTCTTCCTGTAGAACATTCCTTCAACATGTGTACCTTTAACATTTCTTATAGTCTGTTGATGATGAATTCTTTTAACATCTCTATCACTGTAAAAATTCTCTTTCACTTTTGTTTTTGAAAAATATTTTTTCTGAGTAAAGAATGCTTTAAAGATAATGCTTAGCTATCTTCTAGCTTGCCTTATTTCTAGTAAGAAATTTGCTTTAATTCTTGTATGTGAGGTGTTTTTCTTTTTCTTGGCTGGAGGATGTCTGGCTGTTTCTTTCTTTATCAGTGGTTGTAAAATATTTGATGTGATGTGCCATGGTATGGTTTTTTTCCATGTTTCTTATGTTTCATAGCGTTTGTTGGATTTGTGGGTTTGTAGTTTGCATCAGATTTGGAAAATATTCAGCCATTCTTTTTATAAAAAGTTTTTTGGTCCTTACCCTTGACTCTTCCTCTTCTTCTGGGACTCCAGTTACTCATGTGTTTGCCCACTTAAAAATTGTCCAGAAGTTTTGTGATGAGCTGTGTGTCTTGGTTTTCACTCTTCTCCCTCTCGGTCTTTTATTTTGGTTATTTTCAATTCTGTGTCTTCAAGTTCAGTAAGCTTTTCTTCCAGTTTGCTCTGTCTTTAGTATCTTGCATTTCTCTACTTAATACGTTTGCCTTTCATCTTGCTTCTTGAATATATGAAATACAGTTATCAATCATGGTTTTGTTGTCTGTCTGTGGATTCTATCATTTATGCCATTTCTAGATTTTTTAATTGAGTGATTTTTTTTCTCCTCAGTAAGAGTCTTATTGTATGATTTGTGATTTTTGATTAATTGATGCCAGACATTATATACTTTACTTTGTTGGGCACTGGGTATATTTGTAATACTAAAAATATTCCTTGATAGTAATTTCACGGTATTTGTAAGTCATATCATTATGCTTTATACATCTTAAACTTAGCTGTATGTCAATTATAGTTCAATAAAACTGGAAGAATA